TTGGAAAATTGTTCCATGTCCAAAAGGTGTCAATGTGATCGATTCGAAGTGGGTATTTCGTAAGAAAGAAGATAGTGACGGTAATATTGTCGAAAAAGCACGATTAGTGGCACGCGGTTTCAAGCAATCAAAATCTAGTGAGTGTAACTTCGAAGTATATTCCCCGGTAGCGCGTATGCTGACTATTAGAATGTTGTTTTCTTTGTCAGTGGAAGAAAACTACTTGATTAACCAGCTTGACGTAAAGTGCGCGTTTCTGAACGGTGATTTGCCAGAAAGTGTATACATGGAAATACCTGAAGGACTGGAATGTGAAAACTTGGACTCAAACTGTAAGTACGTTTGTCAGTTACAAAAATCTCTTTACGGTTTGCGAGAAGCACCAAAATGTTGGTACGAGAAGTTGCATAACTTTTTACTAAGCTTGAACTTTCAAAGATCAAAATCCGATCCGTGTCTATACTTTGACTCTGATATAATATTGGTGGTGCATGTTGATGATATAGTGTTATTTTGTAAATCTGATTTGAAACTTTTCCTTTTCAAGAATGAGATCATGAAAAAATTCCAAATGAGAGATTTGTCACCAAAATCACAAGTAAAGTTTGTTGCAAAATTCTTGGGCTTAACAATTGAGAAAACAGAAACATGTTTGTTTATAAATCAGAAGGAATTGATCCAGAAAATTTTGCTTAAATTCAATATGTCTGATTGTAAAGTTTCAAGTGTTCCCATGCAGCAAAAATTGAATTTGAAAAGTTGTGAAGGACAAGAATCAAACATTCCTTATCGTGAATTAATAGGATGTTTGATGTACATTATGATTGGAACTAGACCAGACTTGTGCTATAGCATTTCATATTTTAGCCAATTTCAAAACGGTTTCTCCTCAGAACATTGGAAATATTTGAAAAATGTTTTGCGCTATTTGAAGAATACAGAAAATTATGGTCTAAAATATGAAAAATCACAAGAAAATAGTGAAAGTCTGATTACCGCTTATGTAGATGCAGATTTTGCAAATTCTATTGAAGATAGAAAAAGCATCTCAGGTTTTGCAATAAAAGTTTTTGATAACTTTATTCATTGGAAATCCAGAAAACAGTCAACTGTTTCTCTCAGCAGTGCAGAGGCCGAGTATGTCGCACTCTCTGATTGTTTAACGGAATGCATTTTTATTGCAAATTTGTTGAGTGAAATCTTAAATCGTGATGCTTTTCCTATCCAAATATTCGAGGACAACCAATCCTGCATAAAGATGGCCAATACTTTAGAAACTAAACGAACGAAGCACATAGATGTGAGGCATCACTTTATTCGGGATTGTGTAAGTCAAAAGAAAGTAAATTTGAAATTCATAAGTACTTCAGAGCAAATAGCTGATATCTTTACCAAGGCTTTAGCAGCTGTGAAACTGAAGTATTTTAGAGATAAACTTAAGGTAAGAGTTTTATAGAATGTTGTTTGCTGACTTGTACTTTAACTTTAGTTTTATTGAAATGTACTGTTACTTAAGTTTTCTTGACATGTATTTTACTTGAGTTGATTGACTTATAATTTGCCCATTTTTCTTAGCTAGAAATGGCTAGATATTTTTGGATTTTTGTATTACAAAATTGGATGGGGGTGTAGAAATAAGCAATTTGTGTGAACCCAACCTTAGCTTTTATGTCAAGTCTAAATTGTCAATCAGCTGGGAATATATTATCGATACAGGAGTCGATAGTCGATGTAACCTTGCTTTTGAATAAAAACGTTGTTCACCAATTTTCGCTGTATTTACTTAATTGAAATCCTGCAGAGCTCTGAAAGTTAACACAAAATAATGTTGGCACCCTAAACTACATGAATAAATAGACAGATGTAATACGGACATAAGATTTTCATAAACTATCATTTGACACCAACTTTGAATTTAACTGGAGAATAAATTTAACCGGAATTTTTGATCATGGATTAAATTGCAAGTTGCTGTCAAATGATGGTTTATAAAAGATGAGAATGAAAAATCGGTTTTCCTTTAAAATTAACCATTTAGGTTTTACAGCCTGTTAGGCTTGCAAAAAAGTAAATTTTCAACTGTCAATATTCCCAAAACAGTTCAAAGTTCAACTTAGGTATAGGGTACATTACCTACATGAAATATTAGAATTTCACGTCGAATCCAAATGTGCAAACACATACAGGGTGTCCCATTTAAAGTAGGAAAGTTGACGTCTACTTCCGGTATTACCGGAAGTGCCACTATCTTGAAACTATTTTAGCCGGATTGCCTCCATTGACATTAGTATACTGTCAAATTTTCAAAGATTTTCTGCATACAGTTTTTCATATACAGGGTGGCCAACTGAAAACGAAACAGAGGTGATTTTGGACTCTCTAAGACATGTAAGAAAAAACCCTCGTACCCGTCGATTTTTGATTTAAGGGGGAACTATTTTTTTGGCATTTTCACCCCATGGGGGGCAAAGCCCTAGCGGGGGTGACAAGGGCCCCCAAAATTTTAAATGGAATGAGGGGTCGAGTGATACCTTATTTTGAAGCTATTTTTATGTAGATTATAACCCCCGAGTTTTACATCGCTACTATCTACTTAGCTATTACAGGGGCTAATTAAAGCTACAAAAACATGTTGGGATATTTTGTATTTGAAAAAATGCTCCAAAAAGAAAATCAATCAAGTAAATGCTGAAAATGTCCACAGAAGAAAAAATCTAACGGGTTTACATCTGGAGAACGTGGGGGCCACTCAATAGCTCCTCTCCTTCGAATCCATTGTCCTGTAAACGTTTGGTCCAAATATTGACGAACCACTTGTTGGAATATTAAACAGTTTTCCATGTATCTGTTATCTCATTCTCTAGTATCTCCACCAATTCTGGATGAATCGCTTCTTCTCATCACTCTAGCTACATTTCTCCTGTTAAATTTATAGGTAAAGAAGGGACCACGGTTACCAAAAATGCTAGTCCAAACCCTCAATTTCTTGGGATGTTGCGTATGCACCTCACGAAATATGTTTTCTGGGATTTGAATTAGCCGAATAGCGGCAGTTGTGACGATTCACCGTACCGTTTAAGAGAAAAGAGCATTCGTCAGAGAAATATACATTGAAATTGAACTGCTGCTCCATTTATTGAAAAAAAAAAGTGGGTTATGAGTTTTTCAATGGTGAGAGAGGACGAAATAAAACGAAAAAAGGGGTTAGTAGCACATCAACTCAAATGCCATTTAATTATACTCCATTATTTAGTACAGTACAAAGATATCGAAAAATTGTGTTGCCTCGTCCCTCGATAATTTAAAAACACATGAAATTTGATTAACTGTCAGTTAAATAAATGCTGAAATTGACCACCACCCACCTCTATACAGTAATAAAGATTCTGTTCGAAACGCTCCCGCACATTCCGAAGCATTTGTGGACTGATTTGACGACACTCATTGATTATCCGATCTCGTAAATGTTCGTGGAGAGGAGCTATTGTGTGGTTCCCACGTTCTCCAGATTTAAGCCCGTTAGATTTTTTCTTCTGTGGTCATTTTCAGCACTTACTTTATTGATTTTGTTTTTAAAGAATTTTTTTAATTACAAAATATCCCAACATGTTTTTGTAGCTTCAATTAGCCCCTGTAATGGCTAGGTAGATAGTAGCGATGTAAGACTCGGGGGTTATAATCTACATAAAAATAGCCTCAAAATAAGGTATCACTCGACCCCTCATTGCATTTGAAATTTTGGGGGTCCTTGTCACCCCCGCTAGGGCTTTGCCCCCCATGGGGTGAAAATGCCAAAAAAATGGTTCCCCCTTAAATCAAAAATCGACGGGTACGAGGGTTTTTTCCTAAATCTCTTAAGAAGCCTAAAATCACCTCTGTTTCGTTTTCAATTGGCCACCCTGTATAGGTATATCGATTTAGTTCTCGGTGGGACTCCCTGTATATATATTTGGAATCAGGAAGAAAATATCTTTCATTTTATCACATAATATACAGGGTGTTCCAGAAAAAAAAGCTGAAGTCTACGTTTTTTCATTTTTCGATGCGACTTTGTTTCTTCTGATAACAAAAGATGATATATCGGAAAATTAATAAAATAATGGATCTACGTTGTCAAAATTTATGACGTTAGCATGTCGCAATGTTGCCGCATCAACTTTGTTTCACTTTGACATACCGTGTCTCAAGGGCATACTCAGCATCTGAATTAGTGGGAGGCAGACCAATAAAAAAGCAATTTTTTTTTTCAATTTTACTAGTTATCAACAATAACACATTATCTTTTTATAGGTAGCAAAATTTTTAATTTTTCATTACTATACAGGGTGATTCAAATTCGATGCTCTCCATAGTCTATTGGGAATTCGAAAACCATAAGAGATACCAGGTCGGTTAAATGAAAACAACATTTAGATCGGCCTCGTATTTCTGACCGTTTCTGAGATCCTATAATGGAGAAAATCGAATTTGAATCACCCTGTATAAGATCAATTTTTGGAGTCAGTATTTTTGCCAGAGGGATAGTGTCCTAAAAAGTCAATTACAGAGTATGGTCGCCACTTCGACATAATTTTTGCTGCGAATCAAGCTACCAAAGAATTTTTATGGATTACTACTTACTAGACTTTAAAAAACAATAATCAAATTTCAACTAATTCCTACTGACGATAATTCTGCGCTCGAGTAAAGTTAGCTGAAAATTCACAATTTCACTGCAGGGCAAAACACAAAGAGAACAAAAGATGAATTTTTATTTGTAAATATGGATTGATGTGCTCGACATAGTAGGCTAAACTATCATTTCAAAACTCGTTTTTGTTTTTGAACAATTAACTTCTTTAGTGCAGAAGCCACGGTCACCCACTAATTTCATTTGCACGTTGACGAGCATAATGCATAATTATCAAAACCTCAGAGGGCATACGTTATACTATCATTGAGCTTTGTGTCAGTGAGGCAAATTAAATCTGATAGGCTGTATTGCGTATCTATAAACTTACCAAAAGGAATAGTCCTGTTGTGACTCTTCCCTGAATTGACAGTTTGTACGTCTCCCAGAGGCATATACATGGTTTTTGCCCTCACTCGGTGAAAATAGGCCCGACTCTGACCTGAGGAAGTCGACACAGGAGGCGGTAGGGGGCTTTTTTGTGCCGGTAACTGCTGAATCTTATCTAAAAGCTCCTTCATCTCAACCGTGGGCGAAGTAGCGCGCGGTGGCGAATCTGGAGTACCTAAATTGGCCAAACTACTAATATCCGACCCGGTCATGCTGTTAGTAACGCCAAAGTGTAGATCTTGCAACATCGTGGTGGATTGAGGGTGCGTTTGTTCTCCTGGATTTGAAGCGCAAATTGACAGGTTTAAGAGGGCGGAAAATAGCTCTTCGTCTTCTGTAGAATCCTGGCTTCGTTGGAGTAAGGGTCTGCGTGAAGGCCTGAAGATTGGCTTCTCCCGAATGATTGGTGGTGGTGAAATCGTTGAGGAAGAACGAGGTTTGTTGCTTTCTGAAAAAACAAAACTTCAAGAAACCGATACGCAAGAATTAGAGTTTTTATAAATTTATAGATTTTACCAGGCGAGGGCATTATGCAAAAAAAAAATTAGCCATAGCCAGAAATTTCCAAGAATGTAGTTAAACTGCTGAACTCCCTCAACTCCACTTTGTATTACCTGTTTTGGGTTCTTCTTTAAACGAACTATTTTGTAGATCCAGATCACGTCTACCAGCATCAAAACTATGATTAATAGGACTTGAAGTATTCTGATTGTTGACCGCCAAAGGTAATCGTAGATGGACACCAGCAAGAGGAGGTGCCGCTCCCGATGGTGACGAGAGAGTTTTCAGTTGCATACTTGAACTAGGACTATGTTGAAGTACCTTATAAAAAAAGTTGTGCGATTACTTTAACATTCGTACAATATTCATAATATTTATTAAAAGGAAATACCACACAATATTATTAGTCTACAGTAATTATTGTCATCAGTACATATAAGGACAATGAATAATAGTATATTACATACCGAGTAGGGAAGTGTTTCATTACTGTCGAGAGATTTATATAGTCAATCGAGACGCGAAGCGTCGAGATTGACTAATAATCTCGAGACAGAAATGAAAACTTCCCTCCGAGGTTTGTATACTATTTTATTTGCAAGCACACCATTAATTATGATTAGTCAATCAATTTTTTTAATATTGAAAAAATAAAACAAACATGCCAAAATGTGTCATTCGCTGCTTTGACGTTTTTACCTGACATGTTTTCATTGTTGCCAGAAAAGGTAAATAAATTACAGTGAGGGAAATCGGTGAGGGAAGTGGAATAGGGAAATCGGTGAGGGAAATCGAAGAGGGAAGTGACACAGGTAAAGTGACACTTTCAAATTTTCAAAAAACCAGTAATGTCAAGATTACATATATGATTGCAAATAAACTATATTACTAGTCAGTCAGTTATTCATCAATTGAATATCCAGTTGTTTCGAGAACAAACATAAGCTAGAGAGAGTTTGAAAGATTAGATGCAAATACATGCACTCACTGGATGGTACTCCGTTGTAGCACTAGAAACGGAAGAGGCGCTGCGAGGCAATCTTCTTTCCGAGCTCGGCGACGGACTTGGATGTGAAGGCGAGTCTATAACTAATTCTTCCAAACTGGCTATATTTGAATACGTAGGCGGAACTAGACTATTTGCCTACAAAAAGTTAATAGTAGGTAATACAAATTGAAATGTCTTCCTATACTGTATGCCTACTTACTTCATTTACCACATTACATAAAAAACTAGAGCTTATAGAATCATTTGTGCTAGTAGCTGAGAGAGACCCTGAAAATCATTTTTTCATTGAATTCCGAATAATGTAAATAGATAAGTACATACCAACAGGCCTAATAAAATTTCTAAAATATTGGATAATGTATCCAGAAGAATTATTGTTATTTTTGATTAACGGCTCTGGATTATTATAACTAATCACCAGAGGATACATATCAGGCTTGGAAGTAACCTGCAAATAAATAAAATAATGATTGGTCCAGAGAGGTAAATATTAAGTATAAGTACCTCTGAATAAGGCGGGGGAGCAGCTTGAAAATTATTACAACTACTATACTGCGGAGGCGCATAACAAGATCCTAAAGAATCTGGTTCCGAACAAGTCCTGTTTGGATAATTAGAGCCGTTCCTGCAACACAGTCCGCCCTGACTATGCTTGCGCCATAAAGAGCACGCGCACAAAATTCCTGCGATCGTTGCTGTTACTGCTAACCAAAAGTACCTGTAAATTAATTTTTTTTATTAGGCATAAATTATTTTGATTGAATGTGCTTCTTTTGTTTGAGGTTTAGATGAGTTTTTAGCTCAGAGGTATCTCAAAACTCTCGCTCATGTAATTTGTATTGAGATTTACTAATCTTATGAAATTCTATAATATGTTTTAAATATACCTTCGCTATCTATTTTTTCTCTAAAGAAAAAACACTTGTTCTTGTTCAGATATTGTGAAAGGTTTTGAAGGCAATATTGAATATTCTGTGAATATTCTCCATTATGTTGAAGCATAGACGATAATATTATCATCAAGGTATGCCTCAGTCTTTTAACAATCTGAGATAAAATTTGATAAAAAAATTGAAATATCCATTTTTTAATTTTACAATAGGTACTTCAAATTAAATGTGTAACCCTAATTATAGGCTGTCATATTTTATTTCGATTTTTTTTCCATAATTTAAATGCCTATGATAGTAATTTATTTATTGAATGAAATAATAAGTTAATATTTATCATGGAACTGTAATTGCTGTCATAAGAATAATTCTTTTTGTGAACCAAATGTGCATACTTTTTCTATATGGTTAACTCACGCAATTCTGTCGAAACTCATTTTGGGAAAGTAGTTGTTTCATACTTTTTGCGGTGAGGCTGTACGTTTGATAGACGAGCCTTGCGAGTCCGATATTTCAGGCCATTGATGTCATTGAAAGTGTTTTTAAATTTTAATAGATTCCTACTTCTGATTGTTAGGTTTCGGTTCACTGAAACTCACTTCACAAACAACAACAACTTTTATCAAGCTTTGACTCTATAGGTATAAAGTTTACTAATTACCTATCGAAACGTACACGACAAATATCAAATTATAGCTGACTTTACGTATTACTAAGATCTATTTAAAAAGTCGAAATTGCATTCCGGATCTAGCTAGAAAAACATGGAATCGATTTGATATAATGGAATTCCCAGAAAAACGCCCTGCCCGATGTAAACAACTAATTTTCTCAGAATCCTCGCGCCTGGCGGCTGGTTGTCGGTGCATTTTCGTGACATTATTAACGACTAGTTTCATAGACAAAGACAAGCTTACAACACAATTTGATATTACAATACAATATTGTATTTTTAGGAATTGACAATTGCGATATACCTTGCTGGTTATTTGAATCCTAGAAAGACACAACAAAACTACAAAAATCAAAAGGAAAAAGAGTTATTATATTCTTACCAGTGTCCTAGGAAAAGTGGATTCGAAAACATGTTTCCGGTTTGAATTGAAGGTGGTCTAGTGTAGGAGGGGGCCAACAAGAAACAACAACCCTGCTTGCAACATTCTTTCGGAGGTGAACAGCTGTAGTGCCCTCCATCGCACTTGTTAGGAGATGTTACTTGCTAAAATAGATTCAAATAATTATTTTAAACATGTTACTACCCATTCATAATAATATGTAGTAGGAAATACAAAATACAGGGCTACTTAGAATGATTTTAGTCAACCAGAAATTATAAGATGTTCAAAGTATACTTACAGTAGTCATCATAAGTCTAGGGGCGAGGGTGAGGTTTGAATCAGGATTGCAAAAGCAGCACAAGACTGTCGTCGCATGGCACCTTAGTCTACGAATTTCAAGCTCGTAGTTGGCCAATGCGAATATGGAAGACAATAGTTTGCTGAAAAAAAAAACGAAAACATTACTATGTCCACACTCAAAAAAATCTTCATCATATCAATGAACTGCTTTCATCAATTACATTTCCATTGATTCAGTGAAATTTTCATTAATCTTAAGTACATACAGACAACTGTTAGTATTATGATTTCATGAACAGCTATCATTAGAATAAAGAATGAAGCTTCAGTAAGTTATGAATAGTCATCTACATGAATCTATATTGAATAGTGCATTGGTTACACGAACTAAGTTCATTGATATTATGAAATTAAACCTTAATATTAAAGAACATTTCTTTGATGGAGCTTCCGCGGAATATTCATAATATAAATGAATATTAATATGAATAATATAAATATGATTCATATAGCCTCACTAGAAACTTATCCTTTTAAGAACGAAATTCATTGATACAATGTACGGTTAATTTAAAATAAGCAAATAATCCTAGAAACAAAGCTGTAACCATTAGATCAAGATAAATCATAAATACAATGAAACATTTCGTAGCATTAATGTACACAATTCCTAAGCACATGCGCAAAGGTAGCTGCAGTCGGGCAACGACAGAGAAAAATATGTTAAAATAAGAATAATTACATTTCTACTGGATGCATTGCTACGTACTTCGTTCTAGACGGTTTTTTCGGTCTTGTGTTGTTCGAGGTGTTAAATAGAAAGTCGGTTATACCTGTCGCCGGTTTTTTCTAAAAGGTAAGTTGTATACCTCTATTACCTCTATAATATGTATACCTATTATGTAGGTAGGACTTTGATGCCTTGCACGGAGAGGGTCTAGTCAGTCTCAAATTGGGAATGCGAAAGAAATGACCTACAGATTTTAATGTCATCCGGGGAGAACGTGAAAGACAAGAGCGTCAAGAGCTCCTCAGAATTTCTAAGGAATACTGAAGTCTCTAGAAGTAAGGATACCCAATCTCAAATCAATTTGTAATTTTTTTCATCGATATATTTTTGTTAATTGGTTTTGTTTCACTAGGTAGAAAAGCACAAGATTCAATGCCGCCAGCTAGTGTTTCATAGCCGAGGCAAGGAAACCAGCCAAGGCATTAAATCTAATTTTCTGACGTGGCTTGTTTTAGAAACTTTGGATGTTGATAGTTTAAAAACAGCTGGAACAAACATAGACATATTATATATTGTATGCACCACGGGTACTAATAGACTCGGGCGACTTACGAACCCTCGGGCCAGAGGCCCTTGGCTTTGTAAGGCTGTCGCCCTCAGGGCATAATCATCTACTTAGTACCCTTGATACATAACTATTATGTGGTGCTTCTTTTTTTCATGTCATATCAGTATATTATTGTCCTTTTATACCTTAGATACCATCTACATAATTCATTACTTTATGCCCGTGCGGGCATAAAGTACACATTCTGGCCCGCGCGGGCATAATGTACCATTTTAAACATCAGGTTGACAATTACGCCGCAAATGACGTCGTTTGCGTGTACGCAAAGTTGCATCGACTTCAAATAAAGTCCCCCTGGTATGACATAAAAGTTTTTAAGGCATAATTCATGAAATTATTTTAATAAAAATAAAGAATAGGGTACATATTATTGAAAACGTCATTGAAAAATACAATGAATGAAATTCTAGTATTCAAGACTTTGATTCATAAATACAATGAAAGGGTTTCATCGAATTATATCTGGGCTTCATTAATAGTATGCCGTCTGTTCATCAGGCCAATGAAAAAGTACATATTATTATAAACTAAGAACGATGTTTATTGTCACTATGGAAAGTTTCATTAATACAAAAACCTTGCCACATACTTCAATGTTCGTTGTTCATACATAAGATGAATCGAAATAGGAATTAATAAATTGTTCTTCCTTCAATAGCGTAGAGTTCATGTAATCAAAGAAGCTGTTCTTTGGACCGATTTTGATGAATTGTTCATTAAATCAAGGAACAACTTCTTTTTATTTATGCTACTATTTGATTGAGTGCAACAATTTCTACTACTGCCTGGACTAGAGTCTAGCCATCACATGTGGAGCAACTACGATTGTAGCCGAAAGCCGAGCAGAGCGCTCGAGCGCATTGAATTTGAAGGAAAGTGTATATTCGGTTGCAGCAAAAACAACAAAAATAAACTTAAAATCAATAATAATTATAAATAGAAGAAAATTTATAGAACATTATCAAATAAGATTGTAATTTGAACATGCCTTAAAATTAAATCTTCTATAGGTATCTATTACGTATCCGTGTTCGAGTCCGTGGAATTATCATTAGAGTCTAATATTGTCTGCATCTGCAAAATTAATGCGTTTTTTTCTAGGACGTTGAAGATTAGATGCAGATTTTTGCATTTTTTTTTGTTGAAATACATTTCTTCTGTGGAGTAATTGGTAACTTTTTTCGCTCATTTGTAAGTAAGGGGAGTAGTTCATTTTTTGTTTTCGTTTTAAAGTGGTCAATACTGGGTTTATAGGCAATAATGCCTGTTTTATCACCCTATAACTTTCCACAATTATTAACGTTCATTAAAATTGAATCGAATTTCTTTTGCACAGTTTTTCTGGATCATCCGAATATTATATTTATACTATCCTAAATCCAAACTACAAAAAAATTTAATATTTTTACAAATAATTATTATCTTGTAAAATGGGCTTGTAATTTTTATTTGAATAAGCTTATTCACCTCTCTGAATAGCATACCTTCCTCAAGCCACTGTTTTCTATCCAATAGTTGTAGCCACACTTTTCATCAAACTTTTCATTCTTCCCAGAATCATCAAGTTAGAGGTTTATTAATGGAATTGATTTCCTGTTAGTAGGGTTAAAATAAATAGACAATTAATTTATTAAAAAACAAAATCACAATATTTACACTAGAACAGCTGATTGTCTGATCCGAGCAGATTGACTAGATTGACAGCGCTCCAAATAGAGTCAATGACCAGTACTAACTTAATTTGAATAAGTCCCATGCCCCAACTACCATCAAAATCCCCAGAACCCTTCACCTTGGAGTTTTTGACAGAGCCTTGTTAAAGGACATTGCAGGGACAAGCAGAGGTCATTCAGGTCGAGGACTTTCCACGATTAAGTGTTAGGGAAAACTCCTCAGGCACATTTTGCCGATTTTCTGAGTTGTCTAGTTTTCGCTCATAGATCTAGGGTGGCTAATCCGTTATTTTAGCACTCAATCGCCTTGTGCGGATTTTTTTTGTGAGTCGAAAAAGAGCAACGTGACCAATTGTTTGTTCCGTAAGGCCAAAGTGGTAAGTGGGTTTTCTTATTATTATTTTCTGTGTTTCTCTATTTCCTATGTAAAAGCATAGTTTTCTGTTAATTATACGGTTAAATTCCGAATATCGGACATACCTACCTCTATTGCTCCACGCCCTGTCTCATAACGTCCATTTGTTTCAGGCCTTTAATCTTCAGTCTTAGACGTTACGCTTTAATCGTCACCTTTTATTCGTCACGCTTAGTCCTTAACTTGAGTAAAGAGTTAAACGTTGAGCGTACTGTGTGTTTCAAGTAGTACCTCCAATATTCATCCTCCTCTGGACCATTGGAAGCTTTAGTGACTCCTAGTTACCGCGATCTTCAGTGCCCAGGGTCAGTTGCTTCTTGTCGCGATCCTGATCCAGTTCCAGGCCATTGGAAACACTGGCAGATATTAATCCCATCCGTAAGGTTCCCCCAAGAGTTTAGGGACTACTCAGGTTTGATAAGTGTGTTGTGTTGTCGTAATATCAAACCTTACCAACCCCTTGTTGGAGTAAATCACCACAACAACGCAGTTCTACAATATTAAATTATCCTTCATCAGATTATGTGTTGTCATTTCAATTTCTAATTAATCCTCTATAATACCTTTTTTTTTTTTGTTTATGAAACTTGCCCTTCAGGTTATGTATTGTTAAGTACTTCAAGTTTATTAGGTATTTAGGTATCTATAGTACCTATATTGTTACATAATATTAAAGCCCTTCAGGTTACGTATTGTTGCTTCAACTTTGATTAATGCTGCACTGATCATTATAGATACTTGTACACTAGGGTTAAATGGCCATTTACGAAGGTACTGCATTTAGTGAGCTTGTCCATTAATTATTTATATTTCAGGTATTATTGCTAATTTATTTTAAATACTATTTTTAGAGTATATGGTAGTACCTAACCTAGTTTCTAGGCGATTTATTTTCTTCTCCGAACCTGATCTGGAGTCAGACCTATTCTGTTCTGGTGCTAATTAAAACCCGTACCTGATTGTAGCAAAGCGTTTCACTTTTGTCCCTACTTCTTATTTATATTTCAGGTTGTGCTGCTATAGTTCCGTAGAAGTTTCCTGCTTTCGTTATATCGGTTGATTTCGTGTACTGCAGGGAAAAAGCAGGTGGCGCTCTATATTTAATTATTTAATTAACCCACCCCCTCTCCGCATTGGAAGCTAATCGGCAACCCTTTACACGAAATCACATTTCTAGATTTCAGCCACCAACCAACTCTCTCTCTTCTCTTTTTATTTTTTTTTTCTTTTTAGTTACCCATTCACTGTCCCACTTCCTCAAATTTTAATATTTACCTCTCCCTCGTGTTTTGCGGGTAACAGAGTGGCAGTGTCCGTCTTGCCACGTAATAAACTGACGTGACTTTTCTTCAATAAATATACATACCTTCCTAAAAATTTTGTATACTATCCTTATTTATTTTTAATATCACAGCCAGTTGATTTGAACAATTGCTCTCATATTCTCAGAAAGTACATTAAACAAATCTTCCGAGTTTTTTTTGAATCACAAAATGGTCGTATAGTCAGCAAAAACACTTATTGCAGCAGTATCCTGTGATTGATGCAATCAAATACTTTTGAAAAATCACAGAACACCAATGCGGCGACATTTTTTTCATTCAACTTGTAGGTATCTTGTACAATCTCTTCAAAAAAGCAAATATCGCATGAACATTTATTATTCTGTTGAGAGCTAAACTGACATTTACTAA